TAGTGACCCTATACAGGGTTTCCAAGGCTGCAAATCTTTACAGGAGCAGAAAGCCTCATCTTTCTCCCGTGGAACATCTGATAGTTTTGAACTGCCTACTTTGAGGTTATCAGCCCGATTTGTAACCACTATGCTACCAGAGCTCTCTCTCTCTCTCTATATATATATATATATACATGTATTGATCTGACTGCTGACTATCTCAAAAGATAATATCCATTGTAAGAGGGCCGCCAGGATGATGTGCTCCAGTATTTGTTTTAAAATCCCAAACCTTAGTCCCTCTTTCCCTCCCCTTCCCACTTGTATCTCTCCGAGCTTTAATAGACTGGAAGCAAGGCCATCCCCACATCTTCCCTTCAGTCAGCTCTTCTGGGAGACAGCAGCAGGAGTGCCTACTATTTGCAGTGCATTTTACAGTTCACTAGGTGGAAGAAACCACACTGAGCCTGGGTGGGGCTGGTCGCCACAGCTCTGTAAGCCGCAGATTCTGAGCCAATCCTCAGGGCCAAAAGGGCAGGCCTGGCTTTCAGTCACCATGGGGGCAGGCGCAGAACCGTTCAAGGAAAAGGTCAGATCACTTGCTCCACCACCTGGTGTCTATTTATACCTCCCAGCTCACCATACAAGCACAGGCTGCTGGCTGAAGACTAGCAGGATCCTGCCTCTCATCAGTTGGGGCCCGCATGGGAGACAATCTCTAAAAATCATGTCAGACTTCTGAGTACCCAATATCAGTCCAGTCAGGCATGACCAAGCAACCCTGTTATTGAATTAGTTGGGGGCCTCACAGCACTAAATCACTTTAGGGAAAGGTAGGCCGGTTTTCAGGAATCTCTTACTCTCTTGGTATCCACAGGACCCGGAAAACAGAAAAACACTCCTGCCAACTAGGCTGGAATAAACCCTCTTGGATTCTCTGAGGTAAAAGCAAGGAAACTTCCCACAGAATTCTTATGACAGCCAAAGCCAACTACAGTGGGTATCTGGGAACGTGGGCTTCAGTCAAGCACATTTCCTGCTTGTAAGTTCTCCTGTCAGAACTTACACCCATGATGCTTTCCTTATTTGCTTTTCACAGTGTTGTTGTTAAGTGCCATTGAGTCGGTTCCAACTCATAGCGACCCTGTATAGGGTTTCTGAGAAGCAACTGTTGAGCTTGACCCGCTGGTTCAAATTGACTTTACAGTCCAGTGCATTCACCCACAATGCCACACCAGGACTCCCTACCAGTTTTCTTTGCTGTGCACCTGAGTGTGGCAAGAGTGTAGACAAGAGTGTAGGGCATCTGGGGTGGGAAGAGTGGCAACATGGAAACTCTCTGAACTCAGCAACGGATGCTGGGACTTTTCTTTCCTGGAGTCTCTTTAAAACCTGATACAGTGCTGGGAGGAGTGGCGCAGGAGACAAGGAAGAGGAAACACATGATGGGGGAAAACTAGGGATCTTCAGGGTTATCGCTCACCTTTCCTCATTCTCAAAACAGCAAAGGGACCTGCTATCTCCCCAGAGTAGAGTCTTATGCATAAGCATAAGGAGTCAGCCTTAAATATCCTGAGATGAATGAAACAAGCTGCTAAAGGAGGAGTCTCTGCCGGCTGATGGCAAGTGAATACACTGCCTTCCACATTGACACATGGTTCCCAAGGTTGAAGACTGACACAGTAATAGCCAGAATTGCCTGAGCCAAGTGCCAAGGATCTCTGGTGGTGCAACGGTTAAAGTGCTTGACTGCCTACTGAAAGGTTGGCAGTTCAAACCCACTAATGGTTCTACTGAAGTAAAGACCCGGTGATCTGCTCTGGTAAAGATCACAGCCTAGGGAACCTGAAGGGGAAGTTCTATTCTATTGAAATCGACTTCACGGCATACAACAACAACCATGGGCCATGGCACCTACTTTTGGGTACTTTCCATATTTCATTACATCCTCAAGACCATGCCAGGTCATTGGTATTATTGTTTCTACTTTGCTGATAAAGACAGCAAGATCCAGAGAAAAAGGCAACTTGCTCAAAGACACTCTGTTCTATGAGCCCCCAAAGTTTGTGCTCTTAATCACCACACTGACTGCCACCCATCTTTGCTTCTGTAAGGAAAATGGCAGCAGAGCAACAGCAAACCCAAATCAAGCAAGCAAGGGAACCCCATCAGTGTCTATGACCCTTGGGGAGGTGGTATTATTAAAATGTTTTCCTTGGGAAACACCCCAAATTTTTGAACCTTCTTATTGCTGCAGACACAAGGAAAGGAAAAGATTCATTCTTTGGCCACTGGTAGAACACAATTTATATGTATATGATAATATTTGTCTTTTACCCATAAAGATATGGGTAGCTATGGGGCACATATTTTTTTTTCAGGTAGGGTAACTATATAGTTTGTCATTCTAAGCAGGGCACTTTTGAGAGTGAAAGGGGGATGCTATTAATAATAATGCCAGAACAGGCAGAAACTGTGATGAGCAAACTGGGATGTTTAAAATATGGCTGTAAGATCCCTTTCCTAAGATTACTCCCTATTAGCTTGGCATCTGGGAATCTGCTGGTCTGTGTTGGGGAAGGTGAATGGCTGCTCTTAGTCTCCCAGGAGACTTCAGAAGCTCAGTTCAGGGCGAATACAACAGTAGAACAGACTTTCCTAAATGAGGGGGAGGCATGGACCAGTCTGCCATTCACATCTTTCCTGCTCAACTTTCACCCACGATTACAATTAGCTGCAGTTAGATGCGCCTCATCCTCTTCCAATGTGGTCCCTTCATTTCAGAAAGCCCCCTTTGTCTGCGCTCCTTAACTCTGAGGTGGGAGGCAGGGGCCTTTTTGTCAAGAGATTAAGTTAACTCAATTAACTTAACTCAGTTGTTCTGGAGTTGTGGGAAACTTCATTGTTGTTTAACAGTGAACCAGTCTAAAACATGACAATCTTTCTGAGTCCTGAAGGTGGCTGGGTATCTTTGCCCTGATGTATTTAATGACCCATTCCCCAAACAGAGACAAGTGGCAGAGGGTAAATAGAGTCACAGAGTCTCCTCATGCTGAAGAGGCATCATGGCACAATAAAAAGACACAGAACTCAGGGTCTGGGAGGCTTGGGCCACAAAACTAGTGCTGCCACTTACCAGCCATGGGATCTTATCACATCACATCACTTTCTTCCCTCATGAGCCCTGCTTCCCTCACAGGTATTTCACTAAGACAATGAGGGCAAAACCACTCTGTAAATTGTACATGTCAAGAATGATTTTCTTACAGCGTGCTGGGTTTTCAAGTCTCATCATGAGCAACTTTACAGATGTTTAGAGTAGAAATGCTGACTTTGTTCATTGATTTGAATTAGAGATGAGGGAACCCAAGCCCTAGATGGGTTAAAGTTTCTTTCCATCCACACCCAGCACAAAGCCCCCAATGGCTAGTACACTACAAATGTCTTCCATTTGTGTGAATAAAGTCTCCAGGAGGCTTCTTGGAGATTTACAGATAAGGACTGGAGGTAGATCTGGTTAGGACCTTGCTGTAGCAGCCATGTAAGGCTATAGGACTTGAATTTCATTTTTCACTCAACTGAACTCATGGACCAGTTTCGGGAAGCCCAGAGTGTTAGGCTGCAAAATTTAAACCTACACTGACTGTATTGTCTCCACAGTTGATGATAATGTTAGACCCATGTGCCAGTGGGTACTCATAGGAACAGCTGTGCCTAGTCCTTCTCCTACTCCAACACCTTAAGAGTGGGGTGAATGTGGAGTGGTTGGTTTACTAGAAGTAGATTCCCTAAGGAGAGGTGCTGATGCCTATTCTGATAAGCTCTCCCCATCCAAGTTGATTGGCTGGATATGCAGAGGTGCCTGCATATGAGTGTGAATGGCCCAAAAATGTATGCACGTGGTGGGGGAAAAAGGAGTAAGAGAAGGTATATAGTAGCAGGGAAAACAAACACTAAAACAATATAGACCGAAAGCCAATGGGGCAGGTGGCCTAATGTTTGAGGCACCGTGCAGCAATATCACGTAGGTGTGCCTGTTGAGGTTAAAACAGTAGTCAGAAAAACGGGCAGAGACCTCTCACCCAGGGTTTCCTACCTCTTTCCATCAAGAGCACATCTCCCTGCAATACGGGAAGAGTGAGAAACAGAAGAGCAAACTGCCTCCTTATCTGGGCTATCGTGCACAGATGATGCCAATCCTAGAATAGGGTCCTCAGTGATGCCATCACTGACAAAGTGCCACCTGCGCTGCAGAGAACTATGGGCAGATCCATTCTTCTCTATCTGGCACATCTCAGGTTCTCTGCTTGCCACAAGAAAGGGTCCTTGGGGAGGAAGCCATAGGGTGACACAGACACATTGAGTCCAGTTAGAAATGGTCTGGGTACAGGAGCCCTCTCTTGGACTTAGCTGTCCTGCTCCAGCTCAGTAGAGAGCCACGTGTCAACTGAGAGCAGCTGGGAAGGATCAACTACAGCACTGGCTTTACCAAAAACATTCATTGAAAGAGTTAACTCTCACCTCCTTCTCCCCACCTCTTACACTGAAGCTTCAGTTTCCAGGAATGAGCCCCCAGGCAAAAGTTCTACTCCCCAACCAGTTGTGTTGGATGCTGGCACAGCTGCAGTCTGCCAGGGCTGTGGGCCAGGTTGGCAAGGTAGCCCATGCCCCTTGATCAGAACCAGCTGGGCACACAAGAGGTTGACCAGCCATCTTCCAGGTTCAACTCCATCCAAATACTGCTCTTTGCAGTCCCGAAAGGGAATGAAATAGTCACATCTTTTCATCCTAGCTGCCTTGCTTTTGAGATCCAGAGACAAGAGGGGGCTGAGGAAAGGAGGCTGGGGTTGGTGCTTCTTCCAAAATGTCCATTTCTAATTTCTTTGGGGGGACACAGGTGCTTGGGGCGCTTAAAATCCCCCTTCAGCTCAGTCAGCTGGGTGCTACAGGGGTTTTAGAATGTAGGTGTCAGGGAGCGGAGCAAAGAGGAGGACAGATCAAGACCTTCACTCTACACTGGAAGGGGCACTGGGGACAGGCAGGGTAGTTTGGGCAGCAGAAAGTAAGAAAAGAATGATGGCGGGTCATGGCGCTTTCTCAGAAAGGAAGGATGGCGCGGGCAAGGAAAAGGATTTTCTCAGAGGGACTGGGAAAGGAAGAATTTAGAGACGCTGGTAGGTGTCCTCCAAGCAAGGCGACTGGGGAAGGCTCTTGGAGTCCTACCTGTAGGTCGTCCCCATAGAAGGCAGCCATGGACGCATCGGCCACTAGCAACGTCTCCACGAAGCGAGCCTCGGACACAAATCGTCTGGTCCTGCTCGTGGCCCCCAGGAGGGGTGGGAGTTCGCTGCCTCCATCTGCCTCTTCTTCACTTCTCTCCTCCTCCTCTTGCTTCTCAGCCTCGTCGTCTTCCCTCCCTGGCCTCTGCCCTTCTCCCCTCTCTACCTCCCACTCTGGGACCTGAGGGCCTGGATAGACGTCGGAAGTGCGGGGCCCCCAGCGCTGCAGGCGGTGTGGCTGGCTGAGCGAGTGCCCAGCGCCCTGCGGTTGGATGGTGAACTCCTCGCCCGCCAGCAGGAAGGAGCCGCTCAGGCCGCGGCACAGGCTGAAGGCCGCTAGCGACCCGGGCTCGCCATCCACGGTGCCAGAGAAGAAGCAGCCGCGCAGCTGAGCCTCGCCGCCTGCCGGTCCGCTTGGCGCCCCGAGGTGCTGGATCTTGAAGTCCGGCGCCAGAAAACTGGCGTCGGGCTCCAGGCGCAGCACGAAGCCCCTGCCGAAGGCGGACAGGTGGAGCGCCAGTTTGCCCTCGTTGGCTGGCCACCGCGTGGGCACTACTAGTTCAGCGGCTGGCGCCCCGAGGCGGTGTGGGGCTGGGGCGCAGCGGGCCAGCGGAGATAGCAGCAGCAGCAGCAACAGCAGCAGCAACGGGAGCTGCAGCCAGCACGGGGCGGCAGGCGCGGGGGGCATAGGGGCTGCAGGGGGACTCGGGGCGCAGAGAAGACTTGCTCGAGACCGGCAGGTGCTGGCGACTGGGAGCGCGCACTCAGCGCTCTCCAGGAAAAGCAACATCATTCAAAAGCAATGTAGTGTTGAAACCGCGGGGATCCGGAACAATGTGCGCTGCAGCGTTGGCGGCTCCCAGTGGAGGCCCCTCCACAGCTGGGCGCAGTCTCTTCCCGCCGCCGAGCGCCGGGCAGAGATCAGCTTCTCCGGAGCCGCGTGCGCCTCCCACCTCCTCCCCAGCCCGGGAAGCGCTGAGTGGGCCGCCGAGCCCTCCGTATTTATACTTCCTTCCCGGCTTTGACATAAGAGGTTTATTTTTGATCTCTCAGTATTCCCGTTTCCCCTCCCCTGGGATCAGAGAGAAACTGAAAAGGGGGAGCAAGAGGAGGAAAAAATTTTGGACGAAATATAAAACCAATCAGGAGTTAGCGAGACCCGCCCCCTTCCCCCTGGCCCCCCTCGCCGTTTAAGTGTCAAGTCCAACTTTTTTCCCCTTCCATTTTTGCGATCTCACATTAACCCCTATAGTGCTGGGCTGCCTTAGGCAGAAGTCTTGCGGGGAGACCCCAGCTGCTCCCTCCTCTGGGCAGAGTGCCCAGGACACATCTTCGGAAAAGGTTTCTTCGCTGGCCTCCTCTGTAGTGTTCACATCCTTGAGGAGTCATTCCAGAGATCCTACTGCGTCAGCAGAGAGATCAGGGAAGCTCCAGAGATTTTCATTGTAAAGTGGTTATGGTCACTCTGGTCACTCTAGAATCACACGCGCCACCGAAACCTACAGCACAGGCTTACTAATTTTTACTCCATTGGTTAACTCTATCTATACTCTAATAGAACCCTGTTCCGAGCACTGGTGGGACAGGAGGGCAACTAGAACCTGGGGACAGGGACAAGCACAGTGGTAAGCACTGGTCATTAGCAGTGAGGTTTGCAGATAAGTGGAGACATCCCAGAAGGAAGATAAGTACTTCTGTACAAGAGAACTATACCTCTAAGAGTGCACAGCTAGAACATCTTCTTGCCTTTTGGAATTCTGTCAGTTGTCTGAGTGTTTGGTAAAAGGTGGTGAACTGTCTTGCACTGACTGCATTGACCTTAGCTTCAGGAACAAATGTACCACATTCCCACTTACCCTTGGAGGGTGGATGGGATGATGCTGAGACTCAGGAACAGAGAGATGACTTGGGTCCACAGTGTTCTCTCTCAAGACCACAAATCATAGGTCATTTGCCCTTATCTCCAGTCTTAACAGACCTGGATTAGATTGAGGGTCCTCTAATTGGTTACGAATCGGGCTGCGAACTGCAAGGTCAGCAGTTCGAAACTACCAGCTGCTCCCCAGAAGAAAGACAAGGCTTTCTGCTCTCGTAAAGATTTACAGCCTCGGAAACCCTGTTCAGGGTTGTTATGAGTAGGAACCAACTCGATGGCACTTAACAACCTATAGAATCACACTTCTCTGCCCTTCTTCTGAGCTGTCAGTGGGGGAGGTCCTTTGGGGTCATCACTTAGGAAAGACAAGATCAGGACATTTACGTGCTTACTCCAAGCACTTAGTTTTCTGTCTTCACTTAGGGCACTGACCATCTGATGCATCACCTATGAAGCTCAACAAATAAGCCAGGTTCTCAAGGGCTTGTTACCTAAAAGGGGATGTTTCACAACAATAGTACTTTGGTTAATATCAAATCCAGGGGAAGTCACCCATTTCTCCCAAGTGTCCTTCACTCTGCTTGCTCAGAAACAGTGAATGAGATGAAAGAATGAGCTCCCCAACCTAACACATTGCAAAATCTCCTTTCCTAGAAAACTTACAGATAGAGGATGATTTGAGTCTCAGATGTTTGGGGAAAAACACTTTTGGAGTCAGAAGCATGGGGGAAAAAATAACCTTTGCAACCCTTTTACAAAGTTGAGCAGAACACTTTATCTGGGCACAATAGTAACCTTGGGACAGTGTGGCCCGATCTCCAAACCAAAACCAGTTCCACAGCCATTATAGTGCAGGGCTGTTGTAACATTTTGTTCATGGACTTTTGCTTCCTGAAGCTCCTTATTTGTCACTTGCCAGAGTAAATCTCCTGATTTTCAATAGCAATTACATCCTATAGATTTTCTTTCTTTATCCTTTGCAAGATCAGGAAGGAGTGGAATTGAAGAAATGTTTTCTCGCCTTCTGACTGTATATTGATGGCTGGAAGTGACAGACCTAATAATACCAGTGAGAGACTTGAATGTCCTGGGAGCCTTCTCTTCCCAGTTGGTAAGACAATGAGTTCTTGGAATTTCTTTTAAAAATAGTATAAAATACTCCCAAGGAAAGTTCTTTGGAGAGAGAAATCAATTAGTAAATACTGGACTTTCTCTGGCCTCAATTCAACAACCACACAAAGAACAACTGTTGGCTGGCCTCACTGCCGCCTCTTCTCTCCTTGCTTGGATTCACGCCTTCTGAGGATATGTGCCTTGCTGGTAATTTCCTCGTTGGCACCTGTTATTTCCAGTGCATCCACAAGATGGCAGGCTTGTCTTAAATATGCTTACATTTAGCGTCGTGAAACCTGTACTAAGAGCCCTTTTAGAATTGTCAAGACGAAAACAATGCAATAAAGCCAAAAGGGTACGCTGCCAATTCTGGATTTTCTACATTATCGCTGTCTTTACCAAAATATATATAGTTGATTCTCATATCAGAGTGTTCAACCAACCTCGGATTGAAGATACTGGGAGGAGAGAAGAGAGGAAGGAAGCAATTAAGTGGTCAAAGCAATCCTTCAAAGGCAGCATAAAGTACTTTTTCATAACATTTACATTGTATTAGGAACTATAAGTGATTCAGAGATGATTAAAAGTATATGGAGGATGTGCAAAGGTTATAGGCAAATACAACATATTATATAAGGGACTTGGTCATCCTTGGATTTTGGTATCTGAAGTTAATCCCCTCAACGAACCACTATAATTATAATAGTGACAAACTGTGACCCTCAGGCTAAATTCTGCCTGCTGCTTGTTTTTATATAGCTCATTAGCTAAAAAGTATTTTTTTTTCATTAAAAATCTGATTGAAAATAATAGAAATGATCATATTTCATGGCATTTGAAAATTGAATACAAATTTCAGTGCTCACAAAGTTTTGATGGAATGTAGTCACAGGAATTCATTTACCTATTGGTTGCTTCCACACTACAAGGGCTGTTGTTGCTGTTAAGTGCCATGCAGTCAGTTCCAACTCATAGTGACCTTGTATAGGGTTTCCAAAGAGTGGCTGGGAGTTTGAACTCTGTGGTCCAGTGCTTATCCTACAGCGCCACACTAGGATCCAGGGTTGAATAAATCTAAAGTATTTTTTACCTCGTCTGTTACAGAAAAAGTTACTCTTGTATTACAGTACATCAATATTAATTTGGATTCTCAAATTTGGAATGTGATGTTATTTAGACTTACTATATATTATTCTTATGGAATAAGAAACTCAAAAGAATTTCTTATTTTCTGGAAATAAGGGCAAATTATATCTAAAATTAAAATGAAGACATATTTGGTCTTTAATTCTATATCTAGCAATGAATCTTTCTTTAATTTAGTCGTGGTGTGGCACTGTAGTATAAGCACCAGACTACTAACTACAAGGTCAGCAGTTCAAGCCCACCAGCTGTTCCTTGGAGACCCTATACAGGGTCTCTATGAGTTGGAACTGACTCTAGGGCCCCTTGCAACAACAACTATTAGTCTCTGAATAAATTAAAGACTTGTACAACACGATGCTGCTGTAAGATTAGACTGCTAACCACAAGGTCTGTGGTTTGAAACCACCAATGGCTCCACAGCAGAAAGATGAGGCTTTCTGCTCCTGTAAAGATGTACAGACCTCAGAGTCTGGCGTAAGATGGCAGAGCAGACAGCCGCAATGAGCAGACCCTTTGCAATTTTGCAAAAAAGGCATGGGAAAACAAATAAATGCAGATTTATTTTTTGTTTTGTTTTTATTTCATTTGTGATCCCAAAACACTGAGCTTCAGAAGATGGGGCAGATGTGGATTAAGTGCTGAGTGGAAGAGGAAGCTGAATAGGAAAAGTGAGAGCAAAGGAAAACAGGCGGGCCTGCAGCTGCCTTGGATAGGCTTGGCCATCTTGAGCTTTTGCAAGCAACTGCCGATACTGTGGCCTGATAGCATAGGGCAAGGCTCAGGGCTGGAGGCAAGGGGAGTATAGTTCTATTTGGTTCTGGTGCCCTCCTTGCAAGTGAGGGCATGGCCAATCGCACCATCATCAGCATAGTACCCAGTGGCAACCTCTCCTTCTCAGCTTCTGCCTGGGCTCCAGCGCCAGGCATACCAGGAGGCACATGAACCCGCCCTGACTATGGTACACAAACAGCGAACAGAGAGCTGGGATCAGACTTCCAGTCTCTCTCACACCCACCAGGAAACAGGTAACGAGAGTCTGAGAGCACAGCAATATACAATCCTCAATTAATTATAACTACAATGACGACACAATGTCTTTGAAAAAACAGACATTTTCAGCTTACATGAAGAAACAAGACAGAGTGCCTCAAACAAGTGACCAAAGTACAGAGTCAGAAAATGTAATACCGGAAAAATCATATCAGAACTACTTGGTAAGGAATTTCAAAGAATACTAGTTAGGTATCTTCAAAGAATTGAGAGAAAGATCTCTGAAAGCGAGGAAGAATTCAGGAAAACACACAAGAACAAATAGACAAAATAAATGAAGAATTGGAAACCACACAAAAACAGCAATTAGGAAGCCAGAAAATTAACATTAAGACTTTAGAAATAGATAATACATTGAAAGGACAAAGACTCGGTACTGAATCAATGGAAGGCCAACTCAGTGAGTTCTCAATACTCATCTTCAAGAGGAACAATCAGAATAAAGAGTAAAAAAAATCTAAAGAAAGCCTAAGACTTATCTGGGACACTATCAAGAGGAATAA